TCCCTTCCTAGAAAGTGTTCTTGACATAATTTTACCAGAAGTGACTGGTATGAATTGTCCCCTTCCTAACTGGTATGAATTGTCCCCTTCCTAGAAAGTGTTCTTGACATAATTTTACCAGAAGTGACTGGTATGAATTGTCCCCTTCCTAGAAAGTGTTCTTGACATAATTTTACCAGAAGTGACTGGTATGAATTGTTCCCTTCCTAGAAAGTGTTCTTGACATAATTTTACCAGAAGTGACTGGTATGAATTGTCCCCTTCCTAACTGGTATGAATTGTCCCCTTCCTAGAAAGTGTTCTTGACATAATTTTACCAGAAGTGACTGGTATGAATTGTTCCCTTCCTAGAAAGTGTTCTTGACATAATTTTACCAGAAGTGACTGGTATGAATTGTCCCCTTCCTAACTGGTATGAATTGTCCCCTTCCTAGAAAGTGTTCTTGACATAATTTTACCAGCAGTGACTGGTATTAATTGTCCCCTTCCTAGAAAGTGTTCTTGACATAATTTTACCAGAAGTGACTGGTATGAATTGTCCCCTTTCTAGAAAGTGTTCTTGACATAATTTTACCAGCAGTGACTGGTATTAATTGTCCCCTTCCTAGAAAGTGTTCTTGACATAATTTTACCAGCAGTGACTGGTATGAATTGTCCCCTTCCTAACTGGTATGAATTGTCCCCTTTCTAGAAAGTGTTCTTGACATAATTTTACTAGCAATGACTGGTATAAATTGTCCCCTTCCTAGAAAGGGTGCTTGACATTACTAACAATGTCTGGTATGAATCAAGGTGTGCTTGTCATAATTTGACTAGCGATGACTGGTATGAATTGTCCCCTTCCTAGGAAGATGTGCTTGACATAACTTTAATAGCACTGACTGGTATGAATTGTCCCCTTCCTAGAAAGATGTGCTTGACATAATTTTACTAGCAATGACTGGTATGAATTGTCCCCTTTCTAGAAAGGTGTCCTTAAAATAACTTTAATAGCAGTGACTGGTATGAATTGTCCCTTTCTAGAAAGGGTTCTTGACATTACTAATAAAGACTGGTTTGAATTGTCCCCATCCTATGACTCTGATTTGCCAGCTGGTCTTGCCAGTCACTCTTGCCTTCACCATGGTTTGCATTTCCCTTGCCTCCCTATAATTTTAAAGTTACTTGCACGTCCATTTTACGATGTTGCAGAACCAACCCCAGTATGTTTTCCCTGTTTCTATGTTTCTAATTATGCAAGACAATTTTATGATCAGTAGTTTACCAGTATCGGCTCTGTGGCTAAGTCGATGCGAACGCTTCGTAATGCCAGGTTCGATCCCAGCTGCGGGCCATGCGCCTTGAGTTGGTTTCGACAGTGGTATAGAGAAAGCCGACCGTCCAGAAAGCAATGGCAGACTACTGGACGTAAATTTGCCTATAAAAACCACACAACAGCCAGGGGCTGTTGGGGTTGGTTCTGCAACGTCCTGTAAAGGATACGCAACTAACCTAGTTTACCAGTGCCTACTAAATTGAATGGTCAGCTCTCAATACCAGTGCTGCAATATTTCCCACAGCATAGATCGAACCCGGGCACCATGGTATTGCAAAACCACAAATGCCGAGGTTCCTGTAATATTCCTTCTGTAATATTTGTAAAAGTGCAGTTATGTGACCTGATTAAAATGATTACACAGATCCAGGTAATCGAAGATGATAAAAGAAACAGAGCTGGAGTTTACCAGACAAATGTCAAGGGCAGTGTGCCACCACTGGTGACGACGAAGTTTATCACTCAAGATCAAGGTGAGAAATAGGTTCAGGTCTTACTACCTACATTTTGCCTTCATCGTCACGGTGATCATTGGCTGTGTTGGTTAAAGTTCATCATCTCACATGATTACCGTGGTGGGGCATCCTGAGTGGTTTTAGCTGCCACTGGAACAGAACAACTATGGGGTGACCCATTTGCTGTGATGTTTCAAACTTGATTACCTGCTGTGCTGCTGCTAGATCTTGCAGTTCAATAGGTGATAGGTGGCCAAGCTAGGGCATGCTTAGTATGTTGTAATGATGTGAAATCTTAGGCTGTCAGTGAATCCTTTAGTCCATATTCTTCTAGATCTCCCTCTGCATCTTAGTGTCTCCATTTTAATACTTTACACTCTTGCTGCCTGCATTGGTTTATTCGTTCTCTTTAGGGGACCAGTCCATTTCAGCTTTTTTTTTCTCATTGAATTTAATGTTGAGGGTCACCTAAGTTTAAAAAAAAAAATTATATTTGTAGTAACAGTTTCCCAATATCATGCTTATTTCTAATTTGTTGATACTTCTTTAAAACATTATCCTTCTGAGTGTAAAAGCATCTTTACCGTCTTCACTGCTTTATTGTTGAGAAAATATATGGTGTATATAAAAAGACAAACCATTTAACTTTTCAGTGTTATTCTGTCTAACTTGCCCAGTATACTTGTTTTTATATTTTGATCTCTCGACAATGGCTAGACCTCTTTGATGTTTCTGTTCCCCAGAATGGATAGTTTTTTTAGTTGTCTTCTGCATTCTGTTCAATGCAGACTGGAGTCACTTGGTGCACAGAATTGTTATGTTTTGTTGTGGCTGCTTCCATCAAACATCTATTTACCCTTTTTGTCTGACTGAAATTGTGTGAGCTACCAAATCAGTGTAATAGGGATGTACAACAGTATTGTCTTTTACTTCCATGGTTTGTCTGCAGTTTAACTTTAGTCCACAGAGACAGACTAAAGAAAAAAATGGAGGGGGTGGGGGGTGGGAGGGGATTATATATATATATATATCACCTCTTACATAAAGTTTGCCATGCCACAGAGTTTTGACTGTCATTATATTTTTACCTGAACTAGCTGATTCAGCTACAAACTTTCTTCATGATTCATTGAAACTTCACTAAGTGAGGTCAGTGTAGTGTTGAGAACAACTATCTGGTGTTCCAACATCTACCATATAATTGCATTGTTGAATGAAGTATATATGGTATGTTACTATGTCTGTATTAAAGTTGTTAGTTCTAAACTTGTCAGTTAATAGCTCAGTTCATCATCATCATCATTTAGCGCAGGGGCTCTCAACCTTCCTAAAGCTGCAACCCTTCAGTACAGTTCGTCATGCTGTAATGACCCCCAGACATAAAATTATTTTGGTTACTACTTCATAACTTCTATGAATATGTGCTTTCTGATGGTCTTAGGCGACCCTTGTGAAAAAAAACAAAGGGTCCCGAGCCACAGATTGAGAACCGCTGATTTAGCGGTCCTTTGCAGAATATTGCTGATGTTACAACCTGTCCGAAAGAGACCCAGTTTCTTACCAGATATCCCACCTTGTACACTTTCATACCCAAAGTGTCACTTATATCGAGTGCCCATCTTCATGCTGGTCTGCCCATGCACCTCTTTCCAGACACAATACCAAAATATTTCATTTTCCAGGACAAGATGCTGTTTACTAGTCAGTATTACTTGATTTTCAGATCTTTATGATGTCAGTATTTCTGTTCTTCTTGAGCCAGGCTTTTCTGAGAACCTGTCCTAAGCATTTCAGCCCAAAAAGCACCTGTTTTCTTTCTTAATGTCTGTTAGATAATGTACGACTCACATCTGTATATTGCTACAGGGAAGATGCATGAATTGTTTCTGATATTTGCTCTGATAACCTGTAAACAGGTAATGCCAACCCGAGGTTCATTCGCTCCACAATGTACAATGTACCATGTACAGCAGACATGATGAAATCTGCACACATACCTTTTGCTCTGGCGTTAACACCATTTGCAGAACTGGATCCTCAAGAGGTTGGTGAACTGTTCTTGATTCTTTATAAAGTTGAATTCCTAATCCTGATATTTTGTTTGTTTTATCAGCTTAAAATGATGTCAGTTGCTTGCATTCTTGGACGCGATTTTTTTTTTTTTTTTTTAAAAGGGGAATGATAAATTATTATTATAAATTAATTCACTGTACACGGGAAGTCGTCGTCTGTGGCTAAAGCGCTGCGAACGCACTTTGCAGTGCCGCGTTCCGTACCTGCTGCGGGCCCTGCCCCTTACGTTGGTTTCGACAATGGTATCAAGAAGCCGACTGCCCAGAAAGCAATTGCGAACTACTGGACATAAATTTGCCCAGAAAAACCACAACAGCAAAAAAATGCTGGGGTTGGTTCTGCAACTTCCTGTAAAGGATACGCAACTAACTTTATACATGGGCAACCCATAAGTACTCATTATATCCCAACAGAAGCCAAATAATGTAGATACTGTAAACATTTTTCATTTGTTTGTACCGAAGATAGCTACTGTTGCACAGTGGCTAGCAAGCTTAGGTGGAAACCTTGTTATCATCATGTTTTCTGCTCCCACAGACAAAAATGGAAAAATAAACAATAGAAAACATTGCACAAGCTTTCATGATTGTGCTGCTCATTAAATTAGGCACCTGGTAGTGTTCCAGAAATCAGTAGCCACTGGCATGATATTCTACATCACATACTGAGTAATTTTTGTGTTAAAATATGGGGCTATCACAATACCCTTTATACTTTTTATTTCGTGTGTGTGTGTCAGTCATTAGTTGAGATTCCACATCACTGCAGATGGGTCACCCAGTAGTGTGTATATATATATATGTATATATGTATATGTATGTATATATATGTATATATATATATATATATATATATATATATATATATATATATATATATATATATGTATGTATGTATGTATATATATATATATATATATATATATATATATATATATATATATATATATATATATATATATATATATATATATATATATATATATATATATGTATGTATATATATATATGTATGTATGTATATGTATGTATGTATATATATATATATATATATATATATATATATATATATATATATATATATATATGTGTATGTATAATACATTCAAATATATATATATATATGAATGCTATTGATCTTTACCTACTTGTTAACAGCAACCTCCTCCTCTTGTTGACCTTGGTGAGTTGGGCCCGGTGAGATGCAAGCGTTGCAAGGCATACATGAACCCCTTCATGCAGTTCATAGATGGAGGCAGGAGATTCCAGTGTGTGTTTTGCAGTGCTGCCACAGATGGTAAATATTTCCATCATTATTCAGTTTAGTATTCAGTCCATGTTTAGCCACAATAATTGTTCAAACATGAACTGGGTGCTGTTATGTTTGGCTTGGATAAGAAAAAAACAGGTCAGAGTGGTGATCTCATGTATCTAAGAAACTAAAAAGTGTAACAGATTTTGCTGAATAAAAAATATTTACTGAATAGTTGCTTGATTTTAAACAATTGTTTCTGTAGTGTGCACCTTATGAGATACAGCAGAATATGCCAGGCAGTTCAGTCTGTCGTTTGTATCTTCATTGTTCAATTTCACAATGGGAAAAAACTGCTTTAAAAAAAATATTTGGTTTAAAATTTTGTAAACATTTCTTCCTGGCACATTGTTTTATTCGTTACAATTAGGCTGCGGTATCTGCAACTTTTAGCTAAACACATTTGATTTCATCAAATCCTTAATTAGTCAAAGAGTCGCCGTGGCGTAGCGGCTAGACGCTCGACTGCAGATCAGAAGGTTGTGAGTTTGCTCCCTGGCAAAGCCAGACTTTTAGCCTTTAGTGGGTACCGGATGCAGTTCTAGGAAGTAAAGGCGGTGGACGTGATGCTGACCACATCACTTATCTTATGCCGATTGGTCTAGAAAATATAGGTCTAGCCTTATATGCCCTAAACGCCTAAAGGGGTGGAAAAAATGTCCTTTACTTTTACTTAATTAGTCACCTTTTTATGACTTTCTTAAAAGGGACAGTGGTTCTTTTTTTTCTCCCCGATTGTGGTCTTTAATGCCACACAGGGAATTTTGAAAACTGATACAGTTAACAGTTTGACAACTGAACCATTTCAGTATATACTATAAATAACATCAGCAAACATCTTGGGCATGAGAGACAGTTGAACAAACTTCCTGTTCTTAGCATTCTTCTGGGGTTAGTTGCGTATCCTTTACAGGACATTGTGTGGTTTTTCTAGGCAAATTTACCCCCACTAGTTTGCCATTGCTTTCTGGACGGTCGGCTTTCTTGATACCACTGTCGAAACTAATGCAAGGCACATGGCCCGCAGCTGGGATTGAACAAGGCATCCCGGCATTATGAAGAGTTCACATCGACTTAACCACAGAGCCGACTTCTTAGCATTCACTGGCTGTAAACTCTGGTGAGAAGTTCTGGTTGTTCGTCCACTGCTGGACTTAGTCTTGCTCCAGAACTTGAGTATTGAGTGCACATCCATTATACAGATCTGGCTTATGTGTATGCAGACTGTTGGTTTCTTGCCTCTCAGGCACTTATTGAGGACAGCAGTAGCAGTGTGGCTTCTCTTAGCTCTGTTTATTTAGAAACTTCTTGATTGTAAGTAAAGTCTTGTCTTTTCCAGCTACATAGGAAATATAAATGTAAACATCTGAGAGGAATGAAGTAGAAATAGAAGATGATATGAATAAATATTATGCAAATATTGTTCTCAACAGTGAATCATCATCCCCTAACACTACGTGTCGTTGGGTCACCAGTTTCTGTTGACTGTTTGATCAGCTTTCTCCACCTTTGGTGGTCATTTGCAAAGGACTTCATGGTTGCATGCCTGAGGCCTGTCCAGTCATTCAGATTCTGTAACCAGGTCTTTCTTGGTCTGCCCCTTCTCCTCTTCCCCTCTACTGAGCCCTGCAGTATTGTTTTTGAGAGGCTGTTAGATCTGATTATGTGTCCATACCAATGCATTTTTCACCTTTTCACTGTAGTTATAAGAGGTTCATAGTTGCCACTGTGCTGTATAATTTTATGGCTAACCTCTTCGTTTGTAATGTGGATTCTGTATGATATGCCAAGAAGTTTTCTAAAACATCGCATTTCTAATGCTTGTATCTTTCTTTCAAGTTCAGCTGTTAAGGTCCATGTTTCACAGCCTTATGTAAATGTACTAATAGCTAGTGTTCTGAGCAATCGAATCTTAGTTTTGCATGATATGCAATATTTTTTGTTCCCTTTTTTGGGTTTATAGATCTCTGTTATTGCTAGACCCAAGCCTGGGTGAGAAAGGAGGAGGGTTGAGCATGGGGGCCAGCTACTCCACCCTGTAAAAAAAGAAGTATACTACAGAAACTCGGGAGTCACGATGTTAAAGCGGCTAGACGCTTGCCGTGGTTTGGAAGGTTGTGGGTACGCTCCCTGGTAGAGCCAGACTTTTCAAAAATGACCTTGGCTCCAAGGTTGACCCAGCCTTGAGTGGGTACCGGGTGCAGTCCCGGGAAGTAGAGGCAGCCAGCGTGATGCTGACCACATCACCCTTCTTGTGCTGATTGGTCTGTAACAGACTCTTGCTTTTTTGTGTGTGCCATTGTTACTCTTTTGTGTCCTTTGGGACTCTGCCGTGAAGTGTTCTGGGAGTGGAAGAGTTAATGTGTTCTGCTTGTGTCTTTTTCAGTACCGAATGAGTACTTTGCTCATTTGGACCACACAGGTCGCAGATCAGATTGTTACAACAGGGCGGAGCTTTGTTTAGGCACTTATGAGTTTGTAGCTACAAAAGATTATTGTAAGGTGGGTAATATTTGTTTTTTTTAGGGTGTACTTTTTGTGTGTGCATAAAGCACATACTTGCATTACCATCCTTATATGAGAGATACAGGGTTTTACAGATGAAAATTTACTTAAACGTTGCATCTGTCAGGGAACAACTTGTGCAAAAGGCCTTAGATGATAGGAAGGGAAAACGGCTGAAAAGAAATGGCTCTCGGATGGCTCAGGCAGAGGTCACGATCAGAACTTTGTGCTAATGACAGGATAGCACTGGGTGAAGAATGGGCTACAGTGCCACCCAGCAAGACATTGCACAGAGTGATAGTTACCTTGAACCGTGGGTGCCGATAATGAATAGCTGGTGAAACAGTGTAGTGAAAAAGAACAGATAGGAAACCTTACGCTGAACGAAAAATTTAACGGGGGTGAATAGAGGTTCTGGAAAATATTCAACATTGAAGGGCAAACCGAGGCAGACTTTAAATCAGGTTGCAAGTGGTTCTGTTAGCTTTCAACTCTTCGTTGGTTACTGAAGAAGGGGACGGAGCACATGTGGGAATGTCCAGAGTGCAGTGATTGATTGATTCATTCATTGAAAATATTTGTTTTCCCCCCTCTTCCTTTTTCCCAAGGGTTTCCTAGCTACAAGAACATGGCATTCTGGAGTAAACCCTCGGGAAATATCAGAAGCTGGAGTCTCTAAGGAGGTTTAACTGCGTTTACACTGCTGCTCTAGCAATTCATGCAACGTCTTCGGTGCCAAGCTGTATTGGCACTTGCCATTCTCTTGGTATCACCAGCGACTTGGAATGGGGTACCCTGCTGCCTGGGCAACAGCCCGTACTCCAATTCAAAATTCCCAGACCTGTGACCTGGAGAAGTTACTCCAGCCTTGCTTAACATAACAAATGCTGTTTTCTAAACCAGCAGTTCAACCCCGTGGGCCCCAGGGACTGATTGTTGCCTACACAGTTCTATCTAGTATATGAGTTTTGTGTCATTGATGCATTGGGCATATGATGTTAGACTCATATTTTTATAGACCATTTGTCACTCAATTGTTGATGGGGTCAGCATCACAGTAGCCACATTTTCATTCTAGGACTTTACCAGGTCCCCATTTTTAGGTTGGATTGACTTGGAAGCTACTTTAGTTAGTTTTGAGAAAAACCCACCTGAGTGCAGATTTGAATCCAAGACCTTCAAGCTGTGTCTGGCTGGTGATCTCCTTTGGCTCACCAAAGATATTCTAGTGGCTATACAACTAAGTTTACTCTAAATTGTTGAAAATGGAAATCATCAATGGACCCAGCCCCAACACAGAAAGATCAGTAATACAATACAGCCAGAAGTGATCCATGGGCCACTTGCAATGGGCTGGATTTGACCTTTGGGTCATTACTTGAATAGCCCTTTTCTAGTTATTGATATTGAATGATCTCAACCACCAAATCCAGCCCAGGGAAAAGACAGCACTCATCACCTCTTGTCTGTGTACCTTTATCTATGACTTGTCTTAAAATGATGCAGATAAATTACTAAAGTGTTGATGCATACAGAGAGCGTTGTTGAAATAAATTTGTAAAAGATAGGGAGATGTGAAGTATTTTTAAAAACTTTCTTAACTGCTTGTATTTACCACTAGAAAGGTGGCGTAGAATAGTAGTATATAGAGATTTTGTATGAGATGATTTAGGCCTGCTGACTAGTACGATTGTCACCAGTTATACATGTTAGGATTATTATATTTTCCCCTCACCCTGTTTGAAAAAAAAATATTCTATCATCTTGAGGATTCAGAGGTGGATCTCGTGAGAGCCAGCATTCTAATCACTCATAATTATCAGAGTAAAAGCTTTTCTGCATGGACACCATTATAACGCTGCTGTGTGCGTGTGTTAAAATAAAAATTTAAAATATGTGGGAGAGTGCACGTACACACACACACACACACATACACACAGAATGAAGGTTTATTGTGTCAACAACAACAAAATTTCCATTTTTTTTTCTTTGTGGAATTCTTTTATCAGTGTCACTGTGGTATAGTAGTTAATACATGATCTGCCAACACAGTGATACAGGTTCAGTCCTCACAAGAAGTGGCAGGATTTTGTTGTGAGCAGTAGGTGAGGTTGAACCAGGCCTCATAAAAATGTGTACCAGATAATTTCTGGCAATAATCTAGAATTTGTGAGGGCCTAACACTTCACCGCCACTTCCTGTCATGGGCAGTGTTGCATTGAGTGGGCACTAGGGGTGAAGGAGAAAATTATTACCCATAGGTTAAAAGAGAAGCATCTTAGAGGATGAATCCTGATATACCTGCCAAAACAGTACTCACATGGACACCAGAGGGGAGGAGAAAAAAGGGGTGCCCAAAATAAAACATGGAGACAAACGATGGAAAGTGAACTGAGTGCGGCATCTCTGACATGGAAAACTGCACTGAAGGTGCGCAGGACAAGAAAGCATGGAAAGTTCTCTCTAAAGCCCCATGTGCCACTGTGCAATAAGAGAATTGGTGATCTTAGAGGAAACATATTAAATGCCTGCTGTAGCGACATTGGTCCTTACATCTGATAATTGGAAGACTTGTTCAAGTCATACTCGCCCTTGACATGGGCAGCTTTTCTCATACCTACCTAAAGCACTGTTTAACACTGTTGTTGTTTCTTTGAATTTCAGAACGGGGTGCCTCCCAAAGAACCTGCTTTTATTTTCATGATTGACGTGTCTTATAACAGTGTCAAGAGTGGTCTTGTCGAGCTGATATGTGATAAATTGAAATCAGAGATCCTTGTGAATTTGCCAAAGTAGGTACTTCGTTACCTTTCTTTTTCCTTGTTTTTGTTGCTAATTGTTGAGTGCTTCATTATAGACATGTTTCTTTTTTGTTGCATCAGTTCATTATGGTTTAGAAGTGTTTTGCTAAGAACTGGCATCATAACACCTGGAACATTCCCATAAGCACTTCATCCTTATCTTCAGCAGCAAGTAAAGATTTCCAATTCTGATGTTGCCCTGTAACGGTTTGATTATGTGTCCATCTTGCCTTTTCTCTGAGAGAAGAGTGTCGACCAGATACCCTGGTCGCTCCTAGCTGTACCATTCTCTCTGGACCATAATTATCTGTTCGTGTCTCCTCATTGTTCTCTTGCTTCCAAAGGGCCTTTATCACGTCTTGCATGTCATCAATAGGATCGCTGCCTAGTAGTTCAGAACCAACCAGTTTGTCTGTCTGTTCATTTCCCAACACTTCTGGTTTGTAAGTTTAGTGGCATATTTACTAGTGCATTGATCCAGCAGTGATTTCTGAAAACATTGAATGCAGCAGTCTGTAAACAAACCCACAACTTTCAGAGTTGGAGAGAAGTGGCCTAATTATCTCTCCAGGGCTTTTCATGTTTTAGGCCCTTACATACAAGATAGGGCCGGCGGCTTTGCTTGTGACCCTGAAAACCTATTATCATGACCATTGGTCTAGGAGGGAAGTCCGACAGGCAGACAGATATAGCACTGCTGTTCTGATCCAACAGCTTCTGCAGCATGTTGTGTTCCAAACATATTGGTGTTACCTTTCCTGTGAAGGTAATAATGCAGGCTGAGAAATTGATCATGTTGCCTAGGCAAGGCATGGTCTCCTTAGTACTGTCTAGACTTTAACTGTAGTGCCATGGGCTGGTTCCCATGCCTTCTTATAACACAGTGGAACACTATCATCTGGAAACTGGAAAGGGTATATAGCCTGTGATTATAGTTTGGTAATACTGTTTAGAATTTTAGAAGTAATACTACTTGGGATTGTGTTAGCTACGTGTTTGCGTATTGTACATATTCCCACATTGACACAGTTGTCTAATGATAATTATTTTAGGATAGTATCCCTGCCAATATCACATGAGAAATCAATTATTGAGGAAAATGTGGCCGTCCGATCAGTAAAAAAGAGGTCAACATAGAGAAGTGGTCAACTATGGAGGTTCTACTATAGTTGATTGTAATGTTCAGTTTTATGAAGTCTCAAGTGTCCATCAGTATAAGGTCTGCACTACTAAGTTGAAACAAGAAGCAAGCTTCTACGTTGAGGTAAAGGTCTTTTTCTACAACATTATGTAGCTGATTGTAATATTCATTTGAAAGAGGAAACAAGCTTCAATCAATATAAGGTCTCTTTCCTCATTGCCAGTTTGTAGTTTCCAGTGAAAGTATTTTTTCCTCATGACCACATCAGAATTATGTTGGCAGCAAATTTCTGTCAGTTATTAACAAGTTTACTTTTATTTTCTCAGAGAAGCAAATGCTGATGAATCAGAGATTAGAGTTGGATTTGTCACTTATCACAAAGAACTTCATTTCTACAATGTCAAGGTAATTCTAATCATATTTAAAGTCATCGTCAAGAATAGTTGTTAAAACAAAAGATTGTTTGAAAGAACACTGATAGAATGTGTGTGTGTGTGTGTGTGCGTGTGCACGCCTCTAAATGGGGACCTGGTACCAACACAGGGATTGCCCCATCCAAATGGCTAAGCCATCCAGGTAATTGCCTACCTCTTGCTTTCTTGTATTTGTTTGCCTTCCTCTTGCTGTCTTTACATCAATCTTCACCACTCATTACCAGATTCTCAAGTGCTTGTCATAACTTGCGTGAGGTGAATTGCCTCATTTCTTTTCCTCTCATTCCATGATATTATTTGCATTCTTTTTCTTTAAAAAAAAAAACCTCTCTCTCCTTAAAACTACTGAATGTAAAATTGCCTAGAAAAACCCCAAATCCCAAAAAAATGAGGGGGTTGGTTCTGCAATGTACTGTAAAGGATGCGCAACTAACTCTCTCCTTATCTCTCTCTCTCTCTCTCTCTCTCTCTCTCTCTCTCTCTCTCTCTCTCTCTCTCTCTCTCTCTCTCTCTCTCTCTCACTCACTCACTCACTCACTCACTCACTCACTCCATGCTGCAACAAAAGTTATCACTGCTGACTGGATGCCTATTGATTTCACCAGAGCTCCCTGACACAGCCTCAGATGATGGTAGTGTCTGACCTGGAAGACATGTTTGTACCTTTGGTCGATGGTTTCCTAGTCAAGTTGTCAGAATCAGAAGCTGTCATTGACAGGTAACAAAATAATGATGGCCATGTATGTTGATTGCATGTTATGTTAAATTTGCTAATAAAAATGTAAATATACTCTTCGCTTTTAAAATCTATGACAGTGTCCTTAGAAGGTAATGCTCCCTGTGTGGGTTCCAGGGCCCCATTGTGGGGGAAAACAAGAATAGACCCACAGCCTACCCAAAAGCATGTCGTAAGAGTCGATAAATTGGGAGCTTCCTTCGAAGTCGAAGTGTATCTGCCTGAGAGGCAAGGAACCAACAGTCTGCACACTGAGTCAGATCTGTCAAATGGATGCACACGCAACACTCAGGTTTAGTCCAGAAACTTTGCGCCGGAGTTTACATCTTTTGAACGTGAAGAAGAAGAAGAAGAAAAAACTAATGCTGTAAAAATATTTTACAAACAACAATATTCAGCTGTTTAAAAAAAAAATGTTTAATCCCATGCCCTCTCACAGTGCATTGGTTGAACTAAGATCAAGAAATGAAGATCTTCAAATACATTTGTGTGTGGGTGCACATACACATGTGTTCACATATGTGTTCTCTCTCTCTCTCTCTCTCTCTCTCTCTCTCTCACCCCCCATCCCTCTCCCACCCTGTCCTTCTCTCTCCTCCACCCTCTCTCTGTTAGTGCAGTGACACAGCGATTGTGCATTTGTCTACTAAAATGTTGATTTGGGGTTTCATCTCCCTTTCTGCATCTCCTGCTGAAGCTTAACTTCTCTGGAATTGAACCAGCCACCCCAAGTAAGTTCCGAGGACCTAGACATGCTGTAAAAGGTGACTAAAGTTTTTCTGAAATCAGATGTGTTGGACCAAAATGCACAGATATCAGATCTAGCTGTAAACCACAACACAGTTTGTCGAGAAGGAGAAGCAGCTAATAAAATGCTTGGGAATTCTCTCTGAAAATTATTTTTTGGGCTTTAAAATGTCAAATGTAAAAAAATCAGAATGAAGATGAAGGTAACGAGGATATTTTAGTCATAAATTTGTGAAATTGGGTTTTCATTTTTTACCTTCAGGTTCTTAAATTCTGTTCATTGTTTTATTTTTCAGCCTGCTCTCTCAGATCCCTCAGTTGTTTGCTGAGTCAAAGGAGACTGAGCTTGTATTAGGACCCGTTATTCAAGCAGGACTTGATGCCCTCAGGTCCGCAGAGAGGGCTGGCCGCTTGTATATATTTCACACAGGGCTCCCAACAGCTGAAGCTCCAGGCAAGTTGAAGAACAGGGATGACCGCAAGTTGCTCGGCACTGAGAAAGAAAAGGTAAATTTCATTTTTGTTTGGTTACATTAGTCACTGTGTCATGCTTTTTGCATCACCTTGCAATGAAGAGTCTTTTGTCTTCTTATACATCTTCTTATGAAGGATTCTAACACCAGGTTCATTTTATTAATATTGCTAATGCATGCCTACCAAATGTTACGGATCGTAGGGTAATAAATATGCAGACTAGCTGGCTAGTAATAAATATAAACAGTAAGGAGCATGGACTGTCGTATTCAATGCTGTATGGAGTAGACTGACAAATTCTGACATTTTTTTAAGGCTAACTTGAACGCATTACCTGGGAGTGGGGCCTGTTCAAGCATGTCTAGGCTGTCTTTGAGGTCAAGGTAGTAGCTTCTCAAGGAAACAGTGACAATTGGTAGAAGTATTTTGGGTTGCTGCTCACTGGACTGAAAATCACCAGACAGGCACTGAAATAAGAAACAAATTGATTAAGGCAGCAAGGACATTCAAGAGAAACTCTAAGATAAGAGAGACCTAAGATGAGAGAGATCTAAGATGAGAGAGACCTAAGATGAGAGAGATCTAAGATGAGAGAGACCTAAGATGAGAGAGACCTAAGATGAGAGAGACCTAAGATGCTGGACTGGATTCCATTCAGGATATAGAAAAGATTGCATACAGTAAATGGAGGAATAGACTGCAACCCCCATGTAGTGTATAAATGGCACACCAGGATGATGATGCTTCAGAGGACTGAGCAAACTAGAGAATGCCCAGTTTCCATAATCTCTCCATGTCGCCGTTGACATAAAAGGTATTCATAAATGGTTTCCATTGCTGCCAGTCTTCTGCTTTTCTGCCCATTGTGCCCCATGTCAGTTTACACTTCTTCAGTTTCCCTTCTGCTGATAGTCTCCAAGTTTCTTTAGGTCCTTCCTCCATCTCCTTTTTCCATGTGGGACCCACTGGACAGCATTCTGCAAACATATCACAGCCATCTCCATTTTCTTCCTTTGATAACCTTTGCCAGTGATAATGTCCACTCTCATCATGTGCTGTGCCAGTAAGCATAGGCTATCATGTTTCACCATTTCACTTTACACGATCACCAGAAACATGGATTAATTCAGTGTTTTTGTCTCACTCCATCCATCTGGCCAGGCCATCCAATTACTTTTCTCTTTGCCTTCCTCTTGCTCTCTTTCCATCAGTCTTGCCAGTTGTTACCAAGTTCTCAAGTCCAATCCTCATAATATGTCCAACAAGTATTGACTGTGTACATCTAATTATTCCACTAGGTGCTTTATTAATATCCTACCCCAAACGGAAAATCCACAGGTCACGGGACAGTCTAATATTTTAGGAGGTGGTAGATAGGCTGCATGCAGTCGTGGTACCTAGGCTGCAAGCACTCATGGGACCTAGATTGCACTCTCTCGTGAGATGTAGGTGGGTTGGGGTTAGGGCCAGTTTGAGATGTTTTGTGGTCGTTAAAAGCATTAGAAAGCCGGGAAACCCAGTCTTACCACCCTCTAAAATGTTGGACTGTCCCGTGATGTCATCTGGGGTAAGACATTAATAAAGAAACTTCTATTAAGTTTACGACTTTCATCTGTCCCAATGGATGCCCAATTAACAATGACTTGCACTGTGATAACAAAACACGCACGCACACACACACATGTTGTATCTAGCTAACAGAAAATGATGCCAGTAGTTTGCTCTCTACAGACAATACTGACCCCACAGACGCCCTTCTACAGCAAGCTGGGCACTGAATGTGTGGCTGCAGGCTGCAGTGTGGACCTTTTCTTGTTTCCCAATCAGTACATTGATGTTGCAACTATCTCTGATATCAGCAGAGTCACTGCCGGCAACATCTACAAGTACAGCTACTTTCAGGTGATTTTTGTTTTTTTCTTTACTGCTTACTGTTAACAAGAATTATCATTGTTTATAAAACTCAGTATATTCCATGCTTTATATAAGGAGTGTTCATTTGAAACCCATTTGTGCAGCACTGCACTTAATTGCATGCATTGAACATGATAAATCATAGTCATGTGGTAAGTGCTGACCAGTGAATGAGAGCACGTGCTTATTATACCATGATGCATAGGTTGTGTTTCCTAAGCAGTGGGATACTGGCTTGTCGATATTATTTAGGAGCACAACAGGAACATGAATTCTAGTTTTGCCTTCTCTCCACCAGTGGCCCTCAACCAACTCAGGCGAGGTGATTCTGTCCTTCTCCTATTTCCTGCACCCTAACCCATGTCCTCCCTGTCTTTTTAACTGCTTTCTCTAGCTTCCTTCCCCATGTGTATTTTGATGTACCTTTATTTCTACTAAGCGCCTGTGGGTTCCATTGCATAGACAATCTCGTTATATTGTTCTCAGGTTTTCTCAACATGTGTCTTATCTAGTGCCAGCATCTTTTCTTCACCTCTTGGAACGGTCAAACTATTGAATTCCCTCTATTCTGCACAGGTACCAGTTTGTAATTTTAGTAATTGTTTTAGTTCTCCATGTTTCGAACCCATACAGCAGTATTTGACATTAGAGTTCAGATTTTAAGTTTAGTATTAATTTTAATTTCTTTTGACTTCCACAAATTTCCTGGTGCTATGAAATCCTTTCTTGCCTATTTTATTCATATTTTAATATCTCTGTCAGTTCCCCCATTTTTATCTACATTACATCAGTATTAAATAGTATCATCATTTCAATATTAAACCAGAACACGTCAATATTGTATTGAAAAACAACATCAATATTAAATTGGAGCACCATTTCAATATTAAACCAGAACACGTCAATATTATATCGAAAAACAACATCAGTATTAAATTGTAGCACCATTTCAATATTAAACCAGAACACGTCAATATTATATCGAAAAACAACATCAGTATTGAATTAGAGCACACCAGTATTGCATAGAAGCCCAATATCAATATTAAATAGGAGCATGTCAGTGTTATTTAAGAGCACAACATCAGTATTAAATTATTAAATTTATATTATTAGTTATTAATTAAATTAATTTGACGGGGTGACATTCCAATCACCAAGCTGTATGTAACAGGGGAAGACAGGCGTTGCAGCACAGACTTCAGAGAGACCTGTGGCTTTCTCATCTGAAAACCACTGGCAGGTAGAACGAAAAGAAGAATAGTATTTTATAGGAGCACAGCATCAACAATATATAGGACCAGTGCACCGATCTTAAATAAAAGCCTATAATAAATTAAACTCTTTTTAAACAGACACCACAAATAGAGATCTTATCGTGAAGTTAAGCAGTTTCCCTTTGAACATATGATGCCATAACTTGATAAATATTATTACAAATGCTTGCAGAATGGTTGAAAGTGGGTAGAATTCTCATGTTTCAAATTTTCACAGGCTGATGTTGATGGAGAGAGATTCATTGAAGATCTGAAGACTTCAGTGAAGAGATCACAGGCATTTGATGCAATCCTCAGAGTCAGAACTAGCACAGGTAATGCTTTTATGTGTTGTATTTTGAAATCACCATGAAATTCGAATTTTTTTTTTTTAAATTGTTATTAGTATGTTTTCAGGGTGGAGCCCTGACCGAGTGGTTTTCCTTATCAAGCACTTCATCATACGTTTCTTGGTCATGCAAAAGATTACATGAGATTCATGTTGTCGTCTATCAGACAAGTGTTGTTTTTTTTTACCCCCTCCACCCCACCCCACCCCCACAGTGTCTGAATTATTAGTTTATTAATAACCATCAGTGTCTGAATTATAGTTTATTATTAACCCTCAGTGTCTGAATGACAGAAGGAAATTATTCATGACAAAAAATGAAATGTTTACGTACAATGCTAGGTGTAACAAGGAAAGATAGACTTAGGAACGATGATATCAGGAGGAGAATCGGCACAGAACCAATACTAAACTTTATAGATAGTCAACAAATCAAATGGTTTGGTAATGTAACAAGATTGGCAGCAGACAGGGCACCACAGAGAGCAATGTTATACAGAGACAGTGGTAACAGACCCAGAGGTCGACCACACAGAAATATCAGACACTGAAAAGTACTTTCTACGAAGCGAACAGAAGGGCCCATTCTAGAGAGCTCTTCCTCCTCTGACGCTGCGAGGCATTCCAGGAGTATAGGAAAGAAGAAAGAGTGTCTGAATTATTAGTTTATTCTTAACCCTCAGTGTCTGAATTACTTGTTGGTTTCTGATTGCAGGCATTCGCCCAGTAGATTTCTATGGCAACTTCTACATGGCAAACACAACAGATGTAGAGATGGCTTCCATAGACAGTGACTCCACCGTGTGTTTGGAGGTCAAGCATGACGACAAGCTCAGTGAGGCAGAGGGTGCCTATATTCAGGTATGTCTGCAAGTTTCTGTACTTTCATATTCAGCTGTTGTAAAGATTTTGAGATTGGGCCCCTGTGGTATTGTTCCCACAGTTAGCAGTGGTTACATCGCAGCCCATCTCCATTGTGGAGAGGCACATTTGATAAATAAAATAAATTTTTTTTTTAATAATTAAAGTTTGCCGTTGCTATTCTTCAGCAGGAACTTTTCAAATATTGTATATGACTTATTGATTGTGAACAGAATATCATAATCCCTGTGTAGGTTTCAGGGCCCCAATTTTGTTATGGGATAAAGAATAGACTCTCTGCCTCCCTGAAAAACATGTAATAAAAGGCGACTAGTTAGGGATTTTTCCTCTAGCCTTGGAGGCATCTGGCTGAGATGCAAGGAACCAAGTCTGCATACAAGTAAGCCAGATCTATAAAACTGATGTGTATGCAGGATTTAACCAGAAATTTTCTCCGGAGTTTACAGCTGTTGAACGCGAAGAAGAAGATGTTACATATTCTCAACATACTTGGTTTTTTAGACAGCTGCAGCTGATTTTGTAGCAGGCTGCTTTACATGGTGGTTGTCCCAGTGTTTAGAAAACAGTAACAGACAACTGAATCAAACAATCCTGGGTGAAAGCCAAAAACAGAAAATGTTGGTGTTGGCTTGTGGCATCCAAAAGAGAATATGCGACTAACTTTGTTACAAACACATATGCAGATGCACACACACTCGCTCACACACAGGAAAAGATAGAAATCGATGTTAGCTGATATATAGTTGGATAAACTGCAAGCCGAGATTTAACCAGGGCATTCTGGAAACAAATACAGATACATTCTGGCTAACAAAGAGACAATGATTTCCACAGTGATGATTCCCGCTAGACTACAACCTGAAGATCACAAGTGTCAGACAGTTAATTCCACATGATAGTAGAGATGCAAAAATGCATAGAGTTCTTCCATGTTCATCCTTAAAATGGTGGTTGACACATTGTGTTGTGATTTATAGCTAGGCAGCTGGGGGGTCGTTTGCTTCGTGCTTTGAAAGTCATGAGTTCATTTCACGGCGGCGCCACAAGTGCAATTTTACAAGACCCCTGGGAATCAATCATCACTGGGGCTATGGAGGTCATGTTTTTCACGATGCTCATGGGAGGCAGGTAGCTATTCTGAGGAGAGAGACTGAGCCTTGTGCGATAAAACCCGGTACTATTCAGTCGTTCCTCTCACTTTAACCTTTACATTACCAAGGCAGCGATACCTACATCTTTCAACCTAATATATCTAGTTTTATCAAATCCCTAATTAATCATCTTTTACATCGTACTTGTGGGTCGGTTCTTTTTTCTATCCAAAATTGGGACCTGGGAAACTATATTGGGACCATAGACTGTTCCAGAATATGCTAGTACTGAATGCTGTTTGGCCAGTTTATATGCATATTGGAATCTGATACTAAAAAGTGGTTTAGTAGTTTTGTAATTATTGTTTTTGAAAAACTCAAAATGAAATACTTTTTTCAAATCTAGGTTGCTGTGCTTTACACCAGTGTGACTGGACAACGGAGACTGAGGTGCCAGAACCTGTCACTCAACTGCTGCAGTCAGATGGCAGATTTGTTCAGAAGCTGTGAACTTGATGTTCTCATTAACTTCTTTGCAAAACAAGGTGGGCCTATTGTGTTCTTAGTGACAGACTAAAAGACTTCTTCTGCGTAATTGTGTTGTGCTGGTTAAGAGCATGACTGCATTGTTTGGGGCTTTCTGCTGGCATACTTGAGTTTTTTTTAACAGGCATAAATCAAACTAATAGAAAAATTAAACATTGATGGGAAAGATCTGCGAATAATAAAGAATATGTATTGGCAGCAAACAGCAGCTATAAGAATTAACAACTGTTTAGGTACATTTCAAAGCATAAAGAGAGGCGTACGACAAGGATGTGTACTGTCACCTGATTTGTTTTCAATATACAGTGAATATATAATAAGATTTTTAATTGATATGCCCGGAATTGTGGTTGGTTGGCACAATATAAACAATTTACGTTATGCTGATGACACAGTCTTGATAGCAACAAGTCAGAAAGAACTACAGGAAATGATAGACATTGTGGTGTTAGAAAGTGGAAGAATGGGCCTCAGTTTGAATAATGGGAAGACAGAAGTAATGGTGGTATCAAAGAAACAAATTATTCCTAAATGTGTAATAAAAGTTGATGGTGTTATTTTAGGACAAGTACAGAAATTAAAGTATCTGGGCACATGGATAACATCAGATGGAAGATTCATAACTGAGATAAGAAACAGAATAGGACAGGCAAAAACTGCATTTTAAAAAATGAAAAACATCTTGTGCAATATATCCTTGTCATTGAGAGTTAGAAAAAGAATTCTTGCTTGCTACATGCATCCAGTTTTAACATATGGCTGTGAATCCTAGACAATCGGTAGGCAGGCCAAACAATTTCTAGAGGCCTCAGAGATGTGGTTTTACGGAAGAATGCTTAGAATACCTTGGACAGCCAAAAAAGATCAACCAAGAGGTTTTGAAAGAGGCGGGAGCCCAAAGACAACTTATCACAGACATCAGAAGGAGATAGTCATCATTTTTCGGCCATATTATGAGAAGAGGGAAAATAGAACATGTGACCACTGGAAAGATCTCTGGAGGGAGGGATAGAGAAAGACAACGAGAGAAGATTCTTGACAGTCTTGTTGCATGTCATGGAGGTGTGTCGGCACACGAACTGATACATACTGCAGGAGATCGCAGATTATGGAGAGGCATGATCGCCCACGCCATTCGGCAAGGCCCCTGATGATGATATTGACTGGATTAGCCTTCCTGGTGGTATTGTCCTTAATTGTGCTGTCTTAGAGACATATTAAATGGTTTTGTTTGGCTAAGCCGTTTGCCTTGCACTCAGAAGGTCATGGGTTTGTGTACAGGCTGCATTGTTAAGTTCACAGGTGCAATATTGTGATCGCTGGGGATTGTCGCTGCTACAGAGTTCATGCTTTCTAAATGCTCTGTGCAGACAGCTGGTTGTTCTGCAAGGTGAGGCTGAGTCGTATGGGATTAAACCTTGTGCAGTGAAATCAATTACTAAAAGAAATGTCTTAACGAGGTTATCTTAGTGACAAACGAAAGAAATATTTGGTGTCTTGAAGATGTTATTTTAGGGACAAACCCCAAAAAAAATTATTATGCGTGGTTTGAGATTAGAATACGAGGGGTAGTAAAGAAAAGTGAGGCACCCTATTATTCATTTTTAAATCTAGAAGAATACCCTATTGGTGTGCAATTGTGCAAATTTAGCAGCATTTCTTAAACACTCTTCTGCACTGTATAGCATTACCAACCCATTTGAGCTAATAGTCCCATACAGAAAAGAGGGAAGGTCTTGGATGGTGCAAGCTGAAGACAGACATATGTAAAAGTAAAAGCACGCCTTCAGGCATATTGAGGCATATAGGGCTATACCTATATTTTATAGACCAATCGGCACTTGATGGGTGATTTGCTTAACATCACGTCAGCCGCCTTTACTTCTCATTACTTTACCTGTTGCCTGTTGCTGGGTTGACCTGGGAGCCAAAATCACTTTTGAAAAAAGTCTGGCTTTGTCAAGACCTGAACCCACAACCCTCGGATCTGCTGGCAAGCATTTCGCGACTGCACCATCGTGGCTCCTCTGTATATGGTGCTAGAACTGCATTTAAATAGACCAGTTGAAATCCGATGCAATATGTGGCCAGCACCACACCGACCACTTTTACTTGTCAGGACATTGCCTTGTAAATAACACATTTTTGGCTGGGTCGACCAGGGAGCCAAGATCAGTTTTGATTAAAAAAATATGACTCGACATGGAGTTAAACCATGCACCTTTGTGTCGTCAGGTGAGTGTCTAGCTACCGTTCTACCTGGCTCCCCACACCTGGTATGGTAGAGAATAGTGCTTGTTGGAAGGTATGATAAATGGTGCCTACACATTATATGGTAGGAGCAGATGGTATGATCCTCGGGCCACATATAATTTCCCACAAACATTTGCAGTATTTTTAGCCCCCTAATGTATTATTATAGAAGACCACAGCCTTATTGCACATAAGCTTAGTTTATTGATTTTTTTTCCCTCACTCAGGAAATATAAATCGTTATCTTGTTCAGCAAATGTGCACGTTGTAAAATGGTTGTAAATATTTTGGGGGCATTATTTTATTCAGCAAAATATGAGATGGGTGTTTTATTGCCCTAATTATCTAAATAGATCGATGGCATCTGACCTTTGAGAGGTTGTTTTATTGCTAAAGAATTGCAAGCGTTTTTTTTTTTTGGCTATAGAATTTGTAAATATAGATAGGATTTGGTTGCAAGTATGGGTTCGGCAATTGGGCGCAACATCATGAAACTGGTTAGGATTTTTATGTTTATCCCCAACAGAAAAAAACTTCAGTCATTTTGCCGAGGATTCAAACCTGAGTCTCCTGCAAAAGACTAGTATTTAACTGCTCAGCCTTCTGTAATAAAAGGGAAAATGTGTAGTTCTAGTGCAGTAATTATTCTATATCCTGCAGCTGTTTCCAATCATAGACTTGCACAAAGAGGAATCAAGAAAGCAGAATGTACAGTGCAGAATAGGGGAAAGATAAAGCTGATATATATTAAGTATTATTGCAAGTGCAATTCCGTTAATTGAAGATTTTGCAATTCTTTGTCATAGTTTTCAAAAATTGCGCCAGTTTAAAGAACCTACTGTGTGATAACAGAACTACAAAAAAAAAAAAATAAGATTTGCTGTACATGTAATGGTGAATTTCTTTGAGTGAGTGTTTGCGGTACATTTGCCTGTGGTATGAGAACCTCTGAATGGCAGACGGCAACACATTGAAATCAGATACAGTTATACTGATCAGATGAGTATCAAAAGGCTATGTTGTTTGAAACTGCCTCCTTCTACATGACGAGAGTCCCAACAAGTCCACATACATACAAGTTACAACTGTACATTACTGAAACTGCAACAGCCGATGCTAGTCAAACTTGGGTATTCATTGACTGCCATATTTAATAAGTAATAAATAGTGATGAACGTCTTATCTGTCTCTCCTAATCAACAAAAGATTCAGTGCTCAATAATAAAACTCTCGCTTCAACAACGACATGCTCTAGTAGTGGGCTTTGGCATGAAGGCTGAGGCACCCTGTGGTCTCCTATGAAGACTTGGATTAATTCCATACTTCAGTGATGGAGGTCTGCTGTGTAAGCTGGACTGCACTAGGTGGGGAAGCAGCCAAAGGGCACTGCTCACAAATTACCCTATTCTATAACAACCCTTTAGTGCTGGCAAACAAGCCGGTGTCCAGCCATTATTGTGGACACAGGTAACCATGCCGAACCGGTGCAGAATAGGCCACTCGGCATAAAACGTGAAGGAATGCCCAGTTCTGCCTTGTTACCAAAAGACAATATAACTGCCAACAAATGGACTATAACAGGTAACTGACTCGAGAGAGTCCTGAAATATTAGAAACATCTGTTAAGTCAGAACACTTAAAGCTTAAGAGACTCACAGCATAAAGTCAAGGGCCACAATACTGACCAGTGCTAGAAACTCAGTGATCCTAACAGTAGGACTCGTTTAAACAGACTGCCTTTTGATATGGTCTGAAGGTCAAGTTGTGTATCCGAGACTTAGCTCAGGTTACAAAGTTTATTCCGAGGAATACATGAATCTTCCCTCAAGTCACATTCAGCAGGTCTCCAGGGATTTCCCTGTGACAGGTCTACTGAAGCATGAACCCGAAATGTCTTAGGCTAGACATTAATATAAACGTATGCCTACAATGGAAATAAATAAATGGCCCAACAGTGAGAGTGGAATATTTCAGAAAGCCTAACAGATCCTATCTTGTGGAAACTTGCATTTAAAAAAAAGATTAGTAAATCATTTTATAAGAAGAAAAAAAAAACATATTTTATTAACATGCCCAAAGCAAACTATATACTGTTTGATTCCATGTGTCAGTGTGCTACAATTTGCACATAATTCAACAGTTTGTTTTTTCTTTGGGGGGGGGGGGGGGGTGTTAGACCAGTGCTTTTTATTAACAAACATGTCCTAAAAGCAAATAATTACAAATTTATTGAAATTGGATGTGTTGGGCCAAAAGATGGGATATCGTGGCCTTGTAAACCGCTGCACAACATACTAAGCGCCCACTCAAGGGCAAACACAGATGAAGATAATGCATGCAAAGCATTACTGACAAATCAGTCTTCTGTTTCTCCAGCTATTCGCACCTGTTTGAATGCCAACCCCAAGCAAGTGAAAGAGCACATCACAAATGAAGTTGCCCAGATTCTGGCCTGCTATCGTAAGAACTGCGCCAACCCGTCCTCGGCCGGCCAGCTGGTGTTGCCGGAGTGTATGAAACTGCTGCCCCTGTATGCTAACTGTGTGATCAAGAGTGACAGTATTTCTGGTGGCTCGGAGATCACCACCGATAACAGAAGCTACCTTATGCACTTGGTCAACGGAATGGATGTGAAGATGACCAATGTTTTCTTCTACCCAAGACTTCTGCCAGTTGTAAGTGTAACTGAAAGACTTGTCTTGTGTGGCAGTTAAGGATGCCCCGTGTGGCATGGACATTGAATGAAAAATAGTCCTCAGGGGGGTTTCGAGATCTACATTTTTGGAGAAACAAGAATAAACCCATTGCCCCCTCCCTAAAAAACAGGTTGTAAAAGGCGAATAATCTGGGATTACTGATAAATTCAGATACTGCTGGCTAGCTGTAAACTGCAACACCGACCCACGTGCTTTTTTAAAGGCAAACGCAGAAGAAGAAGGAAAAATAAGAACCTAGAGGCAGTAGAGATAGGGTTTTACATTAACTTATAAGACTGTCATTGGTAGCTAATAAAATCAGTATTCAGTTGCTACGTCAAAGGCAGCTACAAAGACAATTTTTTTTAACACAGCAGGAAACATTTTTGTGTGTTTGTGTTAAAAGTTTAAAAGATCAGGGAAAGGTTATTGTCATAAAAGAAAATGATTTATCAGAATTCAACAGAGGAAGCAAACGCTGCTTTTTTCATAAATTTTTTTCGTATTTTTCTTCTTCTGCATTTATCTGAAGGCGTAAACGTGTTGTGCCTGTTAACAACATGACTTCGGTATTTGCTCAATTTGCCTGCCATGAAAATTCTGCAGGCATTTGTTGTCCAGATTGGCCTTCCTGCAGATCTCAAATTTCGATTCCTATACAGAATGAGGGCTTTGCTTCTTACACACGTTGGACTTTTATTATGAGAAGCGGGTGGTGGAACGGTTAGAACTCTGGGCTATCATGCGGGAGACCTGTGTTTGAAAATGCATGTATGTGTGTGGCATGTGAGTGTGTATGTATGTGGGCGTAAATGCATGTGTGTGTGAGTGAGTGGGCGTGTGAATGTGTGTGCGCACAAGTGTGTGCATGTATTTTACCACCAATGTTTTTTTCTTGATATTCATAATATGCATATTATTATATGAACATAACATGCTTTATTGATAAAATATAACTGCTATGTGAAAGATGGCTGTTTGGAAGGGCCATATATAAGGCAAGCCTACATGACCAATTTGTGACTCTTTGAAAATAAATTTGTACGTTCGTTTTTGTAGTTCATGCAGAGTGGCGGTAGTCATGTCTGTCGTCAACCTCTCTTACTTTGGACCTATTCTGACACAGATGGTCTTCCATGCCTTAGTGTCAACTGTCCAGCACCTTCTCTCTCCTGCTTGCTGTTCCTGTCTTCCTCTCTGACTTTCCAGCTGTCACGGTGTGCCCCAGTTCTCTCTTTCTTCTGGCATTACCATATTTAGTTCTGATTAATTATTGCAATTTCAGAGCTAACTTAATAATGGAATAACCACATTTAAAAAAAAGTAAAGATCCCTTTCCAAGCCTTTAGGCGCATCGGGCATATGGGAAGAGCACCCATATTTTTTATAGACCAATTGGCACTAGGTGGGTTATGTGGTCAGCATTACGCCAGAATAACCACATTTAGTTCTGATTAATTATTGTAGTTTCTGAGCTAACCTAATAATGGAATAAACTTCAGGCTCGTTAAGTTCACACACCAAAACCTTTACCACAGCCAGATATTACTCCCTTCCTCTCATGCACAGTGAGAGATAGAATAAACCAATTTCACTGTAGCAGAATATAGTAGGGTTAAAAAGTAAGAACCCTTCACCTTCAGGTGTATTTGGGAGAATATATATATATATATATATATATATATATATATATATATATATATATATATATATATATATATATATATATATATATATATATATATATATATATATATATATATATATATATACAGACCTATATTTTATAGACCAATTGGCCCTTGGTTAGTGATCTGGTCAAAATTACACCGGCTGCTTTACTTCCCCGGACTTTACCTGGTACCCATTTAAGGCTGGGTTGACCTGAGCCAAGGTCATTTCTGAGGGGGAAAAAAAACAAGCCTGGCTCCTTCGAGACCTGAGCTCATATTTATATTATTTCCCTTTCAGCACAACTTGGATTTGGAATCCTCAGAGTTCCCCGTGGCACTGCGATGTTCAATCGAGAGACTGGAGGATTCAGGCATTTACATACTTGGTGAGTAATACACTAACATCCTTTTGTTGGTGATTAAAAACTGTAATTTGTGACAAGTAAAATATTGTTGACTGACCTTGACATCAGTGGTCAGGGCTTTTAGCTCTTATATCTCACTTCGTTGATGCCAGTATAGGAATACAAATGGCAAGAGGAGCTTCTATAGCACTAGGATATTGTGGAATTCTGAAGACATTAAACTCACTTCCCAGCTTAGAACTCATTGAGGAATTTACTGCTTTGTAACCCTTTCACCCACTGAATTATAAATAAAAACATGGGTAATAAAACTAAACATTTCCATACAAAAATCTTTGTTTTTTTAGCATTACATTTAATCCATACCCCAAGGCATAAAAAAAAAGCAAATATGTCGAATGATGCTTGCTGTGACGTCTCACTGAGGCTTACGGGAAAGTTTGATGACAATTTTGATTTTAAAAAACCATTGGGGTCTTAAGTGAACCTTTTTAAATGATATTTTTAGTGACTGTATTCATATTCTAGCCTGTTAAACACCTTGCACGTGTGCCCAGGACCAGTGGTGTTTAAACTACTGTTTGAGAACAGGTGACTGCAGAAATGGCCATATATTGGGAATTACGGGGCTGTGTCACAACCAGAAGTGGCTAGATTTTGCCTTCGTGGGTCAGTTTGGTTAATGCAAGTTGTGAAAGGCATATAATTAGACACTTGTTGAATTCTGATGTGTGGGCCGTAAGGTGAAGATATCACAGCCTAGCTGTAAACCAGAACACAAAGAGCGAATGAAGAAGCAGCAGTAGTAGGGAGCATAAGCATTGAGAACAACTAAAACAATTTGTAATTAACAAAAAGCGTCCTTTAACTGGTGTCTTTTTTTTTTTTAAATTCAAATTAGTTGAGCTTGTTTGATTAATGTTCATTTTTTGACTATCATTTTGTAAACATGTGATTGATTCCATGGTGATCTCAAGAGAGGAAAAGAAACACCAGATCATGATGGGTCAGTATGCTTTGGAGCAGGTTAACCAGTTCAAATACCTTGGAGTTGTATTAGTTCAAAATGGAGGCATTAAGACTGAGCTGGCTACACGAAAAGCAGCTGCTGGGAGACTCTTCCAGGCCGTAAACCGAGGGTTTCTTAGCAAAAGAGAAATTGGCAAGAGGACGAAAATGGCTGTTTACCGCTCTACCTATGTACCAGTCCTGACCTATGGGTGTGAGTCATGGGCAATGACAACAGCTCACAGAAGCCAGCTGCAGGCCTCGGAAATGAGATACCTGAGAAAGGTGGTCCAAGTGACAAGAAGGGACAAAGTCCGCAATCAGACAATACGTCAAGATCTTGATACCCAGCCCTTAATAACCCGAGTAGATCAGTCACAGTTACGATGGTTTGGACATGTGTGCAGAATGGGAGAAAATCGGCCACCATGGCAAGCATGGGAGGCTAAGAACCAGGGAACCAGACCTCCGGGACGACCCAGGGTGCGCTGGGAAGACAACATCCGACAGTCCCTGACTGACAGAGGACTGGAATGGAACAAAGCCAGAAAGAAAACTGCTGATAGAGACGTCTGGCGATCTCTCTGGCAAACCTCTACACCCCAAGGTAGAAGAGGAGCGACTAAGTAAGTAAGTAAGTAAGTGATTGATTCCTTTTTTCTCATGTGATTGATTCTGTTTTTCCTCTCTCTCGCCACACCAGAGAATGGTTTATCAATGTTTTTGTGGGTCGGCCTCAACGTCAACCCAGTTTTGATACAGCAGATATTTGGTGTTCCGAGTGCAGCTCAGATCGACATTGATAAGGTATTTGCTGAATTCATTGTTTATCTTAACGTGTGGTGTATATTCTTGCATATTTTAAACTCATTTTTGACCACACATAGAAAAGCCTGATGTGGGAGGTGTAGTTTATTTACGTGTTTCAACCAGAAGGGAGACCTCTTTTGGTTATTGTCAAAATTTAGATGTCTGTGGCTTAGGCCTTGCGGACGCTTTTCCTGATTCCGAGGCGCCCAGTTTGATTCCAGCTACGGGTGATTTGGCAGCAGACTGCTCTGTATTGATTTCAACAAGCGTATTGAGAACCGACTTTTCAGAAAGCAATGACAAACTACTGAACATAAAGTTGCCTAGTAGAAACAAAACAGCCAACAAATGCTGAGGCTGGTTCTGCAACATTGTATAAAGATACACAACAAATGGTGGTTTTTTTTAATGGAAGTTTTAGTTGAACACCATATTCTAGTCGTCCCCATGTGGGATGCAATTTTTCATTGTTTGAAGCCATACCCTGGCTTTTGCCTGGGGCCCTGAATATAGCCGGGCCATAAATATGGCCTAACAGTTGAAAGGGGTGGGTTTCTGGGACCTCTCCACAGTTTATATATATTTTTTCTTTCTGTTTCATAACTTAGGTGTTTTGTTGGGTTTTTTTTCCCTGTCTTTCTTATCGTCCCTGTCACATTTAGGAAATTGCGAGTTTTTATTAATGATAGTGGCCACAAGGGAAGAAACAAGGATCCTGCAGTTGCATAAAGGGAAATAATGGTCCCATATCATATCATTAGATGTGTTGGGTTCTGTTTGTAGCACTAGCTTCATAGTTTTTAGCAGATCAGCACTTGATAGATACAACCCAACTATATCTGAGTGTTGGGAAATGAACAGGCAGACAGACTGGCTGGTTCTTCACTATATGATGCATGACAAGCTAGAAAGTTTAAAGGTCCTTTGGGATGAAGTAAACAGTGTGGAGACACAAATAAATCATCATGGTCTGAGGAGTATGATGCTGGATGGAGTGATCAGGGTATCTGGTCAACGCTCAAGGGAAGGCGAGATAGATATACATTTAAACTGTTAGTGGTAAAAACTCTTTGCTTGCCACTGAAGATGGGGATGAAGCACTTTTGTGAAAGTCCCAGGTGTTGTGATGTCGATTATTGCTTCAACATTTAAGCCAGGTCTGTAAATCGGATCTGTAACTGAAACTTAGGTCCTAGAACAAAGCCAAAATCCAGAAATGGATGAACAATCAGGACTTTTTGCTGGAGTTTACAGTCAGTGAATGCAAACAACCAGACTTGTGACAGTTATGATCCGCTCACAATTGGTGGCAACCCTATTCCGGAACTCCGCTACGCAGATGACACAGTCCTCCTTTCGAACAGCGTAAAGGGAATAGAACATTTAATATTGTCCGTCCAAAAGCACAGTGAAGATCAAAATCTGTCCTTGAATTTAAAGAAAACGAAAATAATTTCCACAGATAAAACTGGCTGTCACCCAAAAATAACAATAAATGATGAAGAAATTGAAAATGTCACAAACTTTGAATAACTAGGCTCTATAATAAACAACAATGGAGACTGTTCGACAGAAATTAAAAGGAGGATGGCCATAGCAATGCAAAGATTGAACAGCCTTAAAAGTCTATGGTTAAGCACCAGCAAGGAGATAACAATTAGAATTTTGAGAGCATGCATCTTCCCTGTGGCTACATACGGATGTGAGTCGTGGACTATCTCAGTCCTTAAGAAAGAGAATAGGGGCTTTTGAGCTGAAATGCTATAGAAAGATTCTCAGAATATCTTGGACGAAGAAGATGAGAAATATTGACATCTAAAAAGATCTGAACATCAAGGAAGATTGGCTAATAAACAGCATCCTTTCTCGAAAGCTGAAATATTTTGGTCATATCAAGCGCCACGACGGATTGGAAAAAATTATAGCAGAAGGCATGGTACCAGGAAGGAGGGGCAGGGGCCGACCGACATGAAGATAGGTACAGGATATAAGTGACTCCTTGAGTGTGAAAGTTCATGAGGCGGGAGAACTGGCAAGAGACCGAGTTTCTTACAGGCAGACTGTGATGAGAGCGACGTTTTGCAATGGACCTGCTACATGATGATGATGAATGGAAACAAAGAAACCTATTTTGTGTGTAAAGCAACGATTCCTAAACTGTGTCCCAGGGAGCCACGACCTCTTCACAGGCGCCGCAAAATATTCAAAGATACTCAATTTTTTTTTTTTTTGTAAATCTCTTACATACACATAGTCATTCTTTTAATTAGGTTAGAGCACCTTGGAATAATTTAAATTGAAAAAAGGTGCAGCGACTAAGAGAAGTTTGGGAAACTCTGGTCTAAAAGTATTAGTATTTCACCTATCTTATTTATCAGCAGAAATGGCTTCTCTTACAAACTGTTTTATTGTTGAATGGTGATGATCTGTTTAATGGATCTGTTTCTGTTATAAATTTCACCAGGCGCAGCTTTTGCAGCTGGACAATCCTGTGTCTCGCAGGCTTTGTGAACTCATTGCAAAAATCCGAGAACAGAGATCAAGATATCTTAAGGTATGCGTGGAAGCCATGTTTCTTAATGCTATATTTTTAGAGCACCTTTTCTCAAACTGTTAAGAATCTTTTTACACTTTGACTGTGACAATTTCCCCCTCATTTATTTTAAGAAGGTATGGACAGACTGGGAGTGACTTCAAAAACCAAGCAAAATATTTTTGCCACATTAAAATACAATAACGTTATTTAAAAAAACTCAACTGGAGCCGGTAATGATGGATGAGTAAGAGGTAAATATCAATACATGTGGATGACAACATAAAGAAATGGGTAAAAACAGTGGAGACTGTACAAACAAGATGAAAGAATGAAAACATCAGAGATCCAATGTAGCTGTCCTGCATTGTTGAAGCAGCACCTGATTGACTGAAGTCTGTCGGGGTATCATGGATCAGAAAATTTACTGTTTGTTTTTGGTTCTGTTTTCAATAAATCCTGGTAATTGTGTTACAGGTTGACATTTAACAAATCTGGTAACCTACAGACTTTCAGATTTTGTATAGTTATATATGCTGTATATATTTAACAGAAAATAGCTGCCTGTAGAATCCTTTACAGAGAGAAAATTAAACAGTAAATAAAAAACAAATGATATTCCCCTCCCCCCCATCCGTGTGTGTTCCCGGGCCCTATTATAGGGAAAACAAGAATAGACCCACTGCCTACCCAGAAGCATGTCGTAAGAGTCGACAAATTGGGAGCTTCCTTCAAAGTCGGAGTGCATTTGCCTGAGAGGCAAGGAACCAACACAAATGTGTCATATCTGTCGAAAAGGATGCACATGCAACACTCAAGTTCTGGAATAGGACTGCAGTCCAGAAGTGGACGAACAACCAGAACTTTCCACCAGAGTTTACAGCTGGTGAACGCAAAGAAGAAGAAATGAAATCCTAATTTTCACTAACAGCTTTACAAAAGCAAATCAATGATAAAAAAAAAAGAATAAGCCCAAATGTCTGTTAGCACGTGCAAGCAAGACCCAGCAGCTGATCCTAGCATACAGCACAAGCAAATCATACATGGTGCCGCCAAAAAGCAGCAGCAGGGCACGCAGTAAATTTGAACACAAATGCCTGAAGAAAATGTTGAACATAAAGGGGGATGAATTCAAAAGGGATAAGGAATTATTGCGCAGAATAGAACGGAATGGAGGGACAGACTTCAAGCTATGTGTGACAGATAATGGCACAACAGGACTGTGATGTTGATGATGAACCCTAGCTCTTCAGCTCTTACAGCTTACTTTAAAAAGTGCAGTGATTATATTATTTGCCTGCGACTGTAACTTATTCTGTCCCATCATCATCAAGTGCTCTGCCAGCTGGCGTAGGTGTTCATGCATCTCCACAGACCTTGGGCTTTAGTGTTCTGGATCAATTCCACTGATGATATTCCTCCATGCCACTGTCTTAAAAGCCATCCACCATCATTTCTCTTGGTCTGCTAGCAGTGATCTTTTCAGTCGTCACAATATTTTCCAATGCTGCTTTTCTCATCACATGACCAAAGAACTTTGTTTGTCTTCTTATTGTATATAATGTTCTACTTTTATTTACCAAGTCTAGACAATCAGTGTAAGTAATCTGTGTCATAGCCATATTATTGTAACTCATGAGCACTCTAAAATACACAGACTTGTATTGCTTGTTTTTTGGGGGTGTTTTTATCAATTGCCTGGAATTGACAGTGTTAACCGAACCAATGTTGTATCTCCACAGTTGACCATTGTGAGACAACGAGACAAACTCCAGCCTTGGTTTGACCATTTCCTTGTGGAGGACAAGGGCATGAATGGCGGTAGTTCTTATGTGGACTTCCTGTGCCATATACACAAGGAGATCCGGAGCATCCTCAGCTGAGTCACTTGCTGATGCAGAAATGTACATATGCCCATCAGCTTTATTAACTAACCAATGATGATTTTTCTGAGTTTTCACTTGGAAAACACATAATTAATGTTGACTCCCTATGCGTAATGTATTATTATTTTCCTGATTTTGATTGTGACTGCATTCTACTCTAGTTTTGTTACTTGTTCAGCAGAACAAATGGAAGCATGCAATATCTGAACACGGGATGAAGGAAGTGGGAATTGTGACTTAGATTATTTTGGGCATTTATTAGTGAAGCTTTGTGGATACAGTCAGCTCTTGCCATTTGCACACTTCGTCAAAGTTTTGAACAAAGGCAGTAAACCTTATCTCTCCCACCCTTTCTCTTTTCTGCTAGCCTGCCTCTTTGTCTATCTATATATGTATCTGTCCAAACGTAAACCTGTATTTTTCTGAGAATGCTGGTTTTGTTTTTAAATGTTATTTTTTTTTAATAGATACTTTTGAGTCAGCTCAGAGTAAATCAAGAGTCATTAAGTGTGCTGACTCCATTTCATCTGTTTAATGAGAGTGCTGCCTCCATTTGATCTGTTTAATGGGAGTTCTGCCACCATTTTATCTGTTTAATGGAAGTGCTGCCTCCATTTCATCTGTTTAATGAGAATGTTGACTCCATTTTATTCGTTTTGGAATGTTACTTCAGACTGTTAATTAAAACATAGTACAAGGGATTTCACTGTCTGCTATATCATTTCTCTAAACAGCATAGTAGCTGGGATGTTTCCTTGCCCAGAAAATGGTCAAGTTTATTACCCAGTAGTGGCAAGGACTTGAGTTCTGGCCTGAGCAGCACTCAGGCTGTCACAGACCGGCTTCTTGTAGCCCTGGGGTTGTCATAGACCTGGGGTTGTCGCAGACCTGGGGTTGTCACAGGTATCGGGTTATCAGTCCTGGATTTGACCCAGCCCAGTATGTGTAACTTCTTGTCCAGGAACATAAAACAGGGCGGTGTGTTGGTGACCATCTCCAGTTGTTCTTTTATATGCAGACTGCAGCGGATACTATAAGGGTTTGAATTTGAGAAATGGATAGGATGCAAAGTTGAACAAATGCATCAGTGACGCATCAGAAACTTATCAGATAACATCTCTGAATTTAAGAAAAGAATTATCCAGCACTCCTAGATTGTTTAACTATAGGGTTGCAGCAGTGCACTGAACTGCATGCTTGCATACAAGTCTGGTAGCGCTTTGTTCAAATCCCCATAATGGCAAGGATTATTTTAATGATAACAGGGTGAATTACAACTATTTTTTTTTCTTCTTCAAATTGGCTGTGCAACATCTAAAAAAAAAAGGCCATCTATGACTGGTAATTAAAGTTCTTCTTAGTGTTGTTTGAAATTGATATTCCTATCTTCCTTTATTTTCATATATTGCTAGTCATTTATGTTCATCTTTGCATTGATTTCAAACTGTCTAACATCTCTCTTGGTCTCCTCCTGCATGTCTTCCCCTCCAACTTTCCATTTGTCGTGAATGCACCACTTCTTCCCTTCTCATGGCATGTCCAAGAATAAGGAATGTCCTTCTCTTCTTTTTCACATTCGTCCGCTGTAAATCTCCAGCAGAAAGTTCTGGGTGTTGGTCCAGCTCCAGACTTGAGTCTTGTTCCATAACCTGAGGGTTGCGTGCACATCTGTTTCACAGATTTGGCTTATTTGTATGCAGACTTTTGGTTTCTGATCTCTCAGGCAAACGTATTTTGACTTCAAAGGATGGCACACGTTAGTCGACTTTCACAACGTGCTTTTTGGGGAGGCAGTAGGTCTCTTGTTTTCCCCACGAATGGGGCCCAAGAACCCACACACAGGAAATCCTCTTCTGATTTGGGTTGCGATTTCTGTATGTGATTTATTTTTTTTAGGCATCTTTATTATGCGTGTATATCTGACCATGATGTTCTCAGAATTGATATATAAAACATCTCTGTATATAAAACATCACCTGCAACTTCCATGTATCTCCTCACTAATCTGCTGATGGTCTTTGATTCACTTCCATACAAAATTGGCTCAATACAGCACTCGTAGTAATGGCCAAAAGTTTAAGACTACCTAGTAGATAACTGATTTTTCCACACCACTACAGAGTATTGCATCTGATATTTTGGGGCCGGCTAAAGGCAATCATGGAAGTCATCACTCTGACTTAAAATAGCAGGTGATGCAATAGTTCATAATAGTATGGACAAATCAGTTTTTAAATAGTTAGAAACTTGTGGCCGCCAATTTAGAACTCTTTCTCACTTTAGTTGACAAAGATATATTGCATGAAATATTAAAGGTTATTTTGCATGTTTCCTCACAAAATAATGTATACTGAGTGTTTAAAATTATGCTGCCTGAAGCGTAAACAAATTATGTGTGTTAAAATTGTAGCAGGAATTAATTAGTTATTTATTGTATTGTTGATGTCCTTTTGTGATTATATATGGTTTGGGGATGAGTTGTCCCATGTGATCACGTTTCTTTTTTATTATGTTCTATTCTTCATTTGTTATTATGTTCTTTTTTCTTCTTTGTGCGGCACTGGGGCTTAGAGATTAGTGAAGTGGTTTTATAATGCAGTCCTTGATGTTTGCCTGGGTTCAATTCTGCGGGGAGCAGCCTGGAAAAAAGACCATTCTCGTAGCTTTCAGGCAGTGGTTTGAGAGTCGCACTGTAAAAGAGATTTAGACCTCATCACATAATTATTCCCATAGTCAGCAGTGAATAAATTGCAGCCGCCCTCCATCGTGAGGATAACAATTTTTTTTTTAATTCTTTAAACTTGGGGGGGGGGGGTGGTGGGGGTGGGGGGGGGGGGGGGGGGGGGGGGGGGGGGGGGGGGGGGGGGGGGGGGTTGTTACCTGTTTAATATCCTTGCAGTGGATTTAGTTGGTAGATTTTTTATTTTTTTAAATATATCGACCAGGGCTATAAATATAATGACCAGGGCTATTAATATATTGACCAGGACTATAAATATATTGACCAGGGCCATAAATATATATGACCAGCAGGTCTTCGCGGCCAGTCCTGCCTAAAATGGGAACAGTGATATGTGGCTCAGGCGTGGCGACGTTGACCACATTACAAATTAAGCACTAATTTGTGAATAGAAATATACAATTAGCACCAATACCAAATGTACCATCAGAGAGTCAGACAGGGTTTGTTGTGTTTTTCTTGTGTCGCTTTTTTGTTTTTGTTTTGATTATTATTACAATTACCAGTTTGGCATCCAAATTATTTCGGGTGCTCTGTAAGGAGTGACGGATTGCTGACCACGTGACCCAGCAAGTGCCAGTTTGTCTTATAAAATTTAGGTCTAGCTCTATACTTTGTTCTGAAGTCCAATGTACTAGCCAGATCTTCTTCATCTTCTCCTTCGTGCTCACTGATTGTGAACCTTCTTGGCAGTTTCTCATTGTTGACTCCCTCTCTCCTGGGCTTTGGTCTTGTTCCAGAACTTGAATTTAGCATGCACATCCGTTTTACAGATCTGACTTTTTTGTATGCATTCTGTTGCTTCTCACCTCAGGCCGATACGTTCCGGCCCCTGGTTAGTCGAGTAACCCCTGCTTCCGAGTGCGGCCCTGCAACCCACATGGTGGATACTAGCCAGTTAAAGAATCAAAGCTGACAGAAGCACACACAGTAGAGAGGCTGAACCTGTTCTGTTCCTCCTGATGTCTCTTCTTAACCTTGCAGTTACAGATAAAACTAGGATAGAGAACAGAAATAGAAACCGTATGTAGCTAGATCTTTTGTTTTTAATATGAAACCAGCGACATAATGTCAGTATATGAACCAGATAATCATTTGTTTTATCAACATGTCTGTGGCTGAGATGTTGCAAACACGCTTCCTAGTTCCATAGTGCAGGGTTAGTATTCAGCTGCGGGTGACTTGGAAGACCGCCTTGCATTAGTTTCAACAGTGGTACCGAGAGCTCTTGAAGAAAGAAGTGGCAAACTACTGAATCTAAAATTGCCTAGCGAAGTCACAAACAAAAATTACCGGGGTCGGTTATGCAACATCCTATAAAGGATACACAACTAACTTTTCTATCAACACATGTGTGTCCTAATCCTGATAGTTAAGGGCTGCATGGCTGATGCAGTTACCATGGGCTGTTCATAATTTCATTGTTCCTGTTGTTCCGGTTGTATGTCACATAGAGCTAGCAGTCTGTTTCTCCTTTCCGTCTATCCTGTGCATTCAGTTCGATACCATGGATGGAATCCAATCCAGCACCTTTGGCTTTTCTCAGCGTTCACTTTAACATTTCTTTTGGCATCCTCGTTTTCTCAATTCTCTGTTTCCCATTTTACTGCCTGTTTGGTGATTCTCTGTTCATCTCTTCAAATGTGACCAGTATGGCGCCATCTTCTCTGTCTTATAACTGTTGATACTAGTGGTTTCCCAGACATTTATTTCTTCACTCCTTTTGAATTCATATTTTATGTTCATTATTGTCCTCAGGCATTTGTTTTCGAAAGCATTTAACTTTCGTTCCATTTCTTTAGTGCTGGAGGTCCCGGTGAGGGAATGGTATTTTATCATGTGAACTTCTAGTAATTTCCCCACTGTCTCTAGGTAGTGAGATCAGATGCCCGTGTGTATTGTTGCACAATAAAAAAAATTCCTTGGCAGTTGGAAATCGAAAAGAGTAGCCTAACGTAGCTGCCCGAGCAAAATTTGAAGTTCAAAATATTTCAGGATCCCCGCCGGTGCTACAGAGCCTGTGCTCTGCGCTGAGCTACTTTGGACTCAGACTTGAGTCAGAAGTAGAACGGAGCACTTCTAGGTTACTACTCGTGTCCCATGATGTTGATTTGTTGTTCAAACTTCAGTTTGTGGCTTCAGAGAAGACACGATTTTGTCAATAGCAAGGATTTAACATTGAGGTGACTTTGGCATAGTGCCATTGATATATATATATGAAGAACGTCATGCCAAGATGTTTCTTTTCACAGAAAAA